TGCTTCTGGTGACATTGGCAATATTTTTAGTATTTTACCATTTTTTTGCTGAAAACTTCATATGAAAATTCCAGCCTCGTGGTTTTTTTCACAAATCGTTTTTCTTTCACTAGCTCATTATTTTTAACTGCCACTGGGGAGCTCATGATTGGTCACTTGTTGTCACAGGGTGCTCTCATTTGAGATGGCCTGTGTGACTCATGATCCAAAGTGCCCTGGCCAGTGGCCTGAATGCTTGGGGGCGGGGGCAAGGAGGACTAGCAGTCCCCTGAACCAACCAGGCTGAAACAGAGGCTCATCTGTGCATGACTCAGTTTGCACATGGCCTCTTTCTCTCTTTGGCAAACTGTCCTGCTGTTACACGGTTCCTCCCACCCGCCTGGAGAAACGCAGCGAAGGGTGTTTCAAAGGATGAGCCCCTTGGTGCGAGCAGGAGAAAGCACCGGCAGATTGAACCCCCAAACCCTGCCCAGGACACCAGTCCTCCCGCTTTGGGACAACCTGGAAGACGCTTCCCGGTGCCCTTGGGCAAAGAACGACTCCTGAATTCATCCTCCCAACTCCAGAGTACCAATGGGGAAACTGAGGCACGGGGCACCAATGGGGAAATGTCGGTGCACGTCACCAAGCCTGATCTGTTAGCCAGCCCTGCCTCTGGGCCTTTTAAGGTCCGTTTCCCACCCAGGGCAGGGTCCCGCTGCGGCTGGGACACTTGGCTTCGGCCTTGGTGCTGCCCAGTATAAAACCCGGGAATTTGGGCCCAAGCGTGGATCTGACAATGCTCCAGGCTGGCAAATTCATGGAGATGCCCAGCCCCCAAACGGCCAGAGACTGGAGCACAGCTCCCCGGCGTAGCCCTGCCGCCCCCACTGCGGGGGACAGGAGCAGGGCCCCAAGACGGGGGAGCAGACCTGCTGAGCACGGTACGAGCCCCCCGGGCCCGAGCAGGAGAGTCCGGGGGGGGGCAGACCTGGGGGCACTGTGCCCTCGGCTGGCAGCCTGGGAAGAGGCCAAGGGAAGGAGAGATGGGGCAGTCTGGATGCAGGGCGCCAGGGCTCAGAGCTGCAAGGGGAGAGGGAAGTTCCCCCCAAGCTACCATGCTGGAGAGGTGCCAGGGTAGGGGGAGGAGGTGAAAGCCAGGGGAGCAGGAGAGTCCGGGGGGGGGCAGACCTGGGGGCACTGTGCCCTCGGCTGGCAGCCTGGGAAGAGGCCAAGGGAAGGAGAGATGGGGCAGTCTGGATGCAGGGCGCCAGGGCTCAGAGCTGCAAGGGGAGAGGGAAGTTCCCCCCAAGCTACCATGCTGGAGAGGTGCCAGGGTAGGGGGAGGAGGTGAAAGCCAGGGGGTGGC